ATATAGAACTTTGATTCATAAACTTTTCTCAAAATAGGTCTATCTATGACCCCGTATAGAGAATTTTACCGAAAAGCAGCCATACACACTTTTAAAAAGATAGCTAGCTGCACAGAAACTCCTCATTCATTTCCATGAGTTTTGATCGAAAATACGTGGGTAGTCAAACCATTATACATAACTCCGATTCACAAACTTTTCTCAAAATAGGTCAACATATTGACGCTGCATAGAGAATTTTACCGAAAACCAGCCATACACACTTTTAAAAAGATAGCTAGCGGCACCGAAACTCCTCATTCACTGCCATGAGTTTTGATCGAAAATACCTGGTACTCAAACCATTATACATAACTTCCATTCACAAAAGTTTCTCAAAATAGGTCTCCATATATGACCCCGCATAGAGAATTTTACTCAAAAGCAGACATACACAATTTTAAAAAGATAGCTAGCTGCATCGAAACTCCACATTCACTTCCATGAATTTTGATCTGAAATACATGGTAGTCAAACCATTATACACAACTTTGATTCATAAACTTTTCTCAAAATAGGTCTCCATATATGACCTCGCATAGAGAATTTTACCGAAAAGCGGCCATACGCACATTCGAAACGATAGCTGCACCCAAACTCCTCATTAGATTCTATGAGTTGTGATCGAAAATACCAGTAAGACAAACCATTATACACAACTTTGATTCATAAAATTTTCTTCAAATAGGTCTCCATATATGACGCCGCATAGAGAATTTTAACGAAAACCAGCCATACATACTTTTAAAAAGATAGCTAGCTGCACAGAAACTCCTCATTTACTGGCATGAGTTTTGATCGAAAATACCTGGTACTCAAACCATTATACACAACTTTTATTCACATTTTTTTCTCAAAATAGGTCTCCATATATGACCCCGCATAGAGAATTTTACCGAAAAGCAGCCATACACACTTTTAAAAAGATAGCTAGCTGCACCGAAACTCCTCATTCACTTCCATTAGTTTGATCTAAAATACGTGGTAGTCAAACCATTATACACAACTTGTATGCACAAACTTTTCTCAAAATAGGTCTCCGCATAGAGAATTTTACCAAAAAGCAACCATACGCACATTCGAAACAATAGCTGCACCCAAACTCCTCATTAGATTCTATGAGTTTTGATCAAAAATTCCAGCAAGCCAAACCATTATACACAACTTTGATTTTTTTTGAAATGAACACACACAACTTTGATTCATAAACTTTTCTCAAAATAGGTCTCTATATATGTCCCCGCATGGAGAATTTTACCGAAAAGCAGCCATACACACTTTTAAAAAGATAGCTAGCTGCACCGAAACTCCTCATTCACTTCCATGAGTTTTGATCTAAAATATGTGGTAGTCAAACCATTATACACAACTTTGATTCACAATCTTTTCCCAAAATAGGTCTCCATATATGACCCCGCATAGAGAATTTTACCGAAAATCAGCCATACGCACATTCGAAACGATAGCTGCACCCAAACTCCTCATTAGATTCTATGTGTTTTCATCGAAAATACCAGCAAGCCAAACCATTATACACAACTTTCATCCATAAACTTTTCTCAAAATAGGTCTCCATATATGACGCCGCATAGAGAATTTTAACGAAAACCAGCCATACACACTTTTGAAAAGATAGCTAGCTGCACCGAAACTCCTCATTCACTTCCATGAGTTTTGATCTAAAATACCTGGTAGTCAATTCATTATGCACAACTTTGATTCACAAACATTTCTCACAATAGGTCTCCATATATGACACTGCATAGATATTTTTACCGAAAAGTAGCCTTACGCACTTTTGAAACGATAGCTGCACCAAAACTACCCATTTACTTCCGTGAGTTTTGGTAAATGAATACCTAGTAGCCAAACCGTTATACAAAACTTTGATTCACAAACTTTTCTCAAAATCGGTCTCCATATATGACCCCGCATAGAGCATTTTTACTAAAATGCAGCGATACACACTTTTTAAAAGATAGCTAGCTGCACCGAAACTCCACATTCACTTCCATGAGTTTTGATCAAAAATACGTGGTAGTCAAACCATTATACACATCTTTGATTCACAAACTTTTCTCAAAATAAGTCTCCATATATGATGCCACATAGAGAATTTTACCGAAAACCAGCCATACACACTTTTTTTGCGGGGTCAACCATACACACTTTTTAAAAGATAGCTAGCTGCACTGAAACTCCTCATTCACTGCCATGAGTTTTGATCGAAAATAACTGGTACTCAAACCATTATACATAACTTTTATTTAAAAAAAATTGTCCAAAAGTTAAGGAAGACTGGTGGAAAACCGAAACGTCGAACGTGCGAAAAAAAACAAATCCAGAGGAAGCGCCCAGAGCGCGACATGTGGCGGGCAGCTGAGACCGCGCCAAGTGACGCCGGTCGTTATCTCCCGAAGAAGCGCTCGTTAACTAGTTGCTCCCTCCATTGCATGTGTGAATATGTGATCATCACCCGACCATTGATGGTAGTAGTGGGATTTTTCATTTAGATACTGACCACAAGATTTCTGTATTGAAGTATTCAGACTACTGATCCCCAATTCTAAAAAGATAGTAAGTTCCAACTGGAGCAACCCTCCTCTTTTTGACTTGTATGGAAAACATATGTGCACACCATATCTCGTTTCATTTTAGTTGGTTCAATGCATTGCCAGATAAACACTCCACCGATCCGATTAGCATGCATGTTATACTCCGTCCGCCTGGAAAAACTTGTCTCAAACTTGTTTCTCAAATGGATGTATCTAGTACTAACTTGATGCTAGATGCATCCATATGAGGGACAAGCTTTTTCGGACGGAGGGTGTTAAACAGATTAATCCTGGCCGGCTTCGTGACAAATATACACAGGGTGCAGTCAGTACGTATATCACTGCCAGCATAATGGTTTTATAGTGCTAGCAGTATATTCACGCTTCTCTTCTGGCGATTCTCTCGGAGCTGTTAAACCGGCGCAGACGAATGAGTCGTTACGCGACAAGAACACGTTGTAAGGCAACACAGGATTTGAGCAAGCGGCAGCGCATATTGGCCTGTAATCTGAAGTCCAACCAGACGTTGGCTCTGACACCCTTACGTCTTGCACGATTGTCACACTTTTACTCCGTAAACACAATGTTAGCTAGCTAACAAAATTAGCTGACAAGAAAACAACATCAGCTAACAAAATCATATACCAACAGGTAAATAACATCCACTGCCAAAACCATGCAGTTGTTTAAAACAAAAGTTCATGCTCAACATAGGCATTGCTAACACAAGGCTCAACAGAAGAAAAGGAACCTTGGTAGACTATCAACACAGCTGCTGTAAATTCCTCACCCAATATTTCCCTTATCTCGTCGTAGATGCAAAGCACCGACACGAAAAATGCCATACCTAGTGAGTGAAATAGCAGAGGGCTCATACCAAGGCAAAATGGCAAGCAATGTGAGACAGTTGGTACTACAGTGATAGCACAACATGACGAATGTTCTTCAATCTTCATCCAGAGCCCGGAAGATGGGAGGCCAGACTGTCATGAAAGGAAACACACTTGCGCGCAAACAATGATAGCCGTGCCGCTTGTCCTTGGCATGGCAAACCCACTACTCTCGGTTTCTCAGATCCACGCAAATGATGACAGCCTCACCGTGTGTCCTTGACCCAAAGAGCACATATTCAGCATCGTTCCCAACTTTGCGAACGAAAACTTGCTCGAGATTATCGCATGCTACTGCACTCAAGCGAATCGTGTCCCCCAGCACCCAGATGTGTGTGTCATCGTCATCCGACTCATGGTGCCACACATTGAGCTGAAATCCCTTCGCATGGATGAGGAAGAGGCTGGACTCTTTGTATGAGAGCGTGAGGCTGGCGGCGTACACTTTTTCCGGCAGGTTCAAGGTGGACAGGCATGCCGTGGCCAGATCCAGCAAAAGAATGTAGCCAATCTCTACTGCCATGTAGAGCTTGTTGTGGACATACATCATGTCCGTGATTCTGGACCATGCAGTCACCTCTACTGTTGCCAGGATGGCTTCGCATCAGGCGCCAGACTTCTGCAGGACACAAGCTTGCACGGAGAAGATCTTCCGTGTCGGCGCCATCGGGAACATGAGAGATAATGCCATGAATGCCATCCCTGGGAAAGAAAAATGCACTTATATTATTAGTGTGGACGTCCCGAAGACTGGGTAGCGGCTCTGGCGGCGACGGCGGAAGGGGATCAACTCTTCGTGTCGGGCACAAGGGTTAGCACATGGCGAGCCGCTTATCTAAATACTTGGTGAGGAGGCAGCCATTTCGGCAGTCGAAGAGATGTCGACGGTCGGCAATTTTGACCGCAGCGGCCGCATGGGCAAGCATTGGGTCACCTGGGATGGACACGAACGCCGGGACCGGGACAGGGCGTCGGAGTCCTCCACAAAGTAGCCGAGGTGCCGGGGAGGGTTGTGCCCACGGAAGGCAGGGTCGGAGGCGATGCGGAGCCACAACTTGGATGATGTGAGCTGTAGTTTCATTCAGGTTGCACGCTTTAGTATCTCTACTTCTAATGGAGCAGTATTTGGCATTAGAACTTTGTAAGTTCACCAAGGCCCCAGGTGACCCAGCTTTTTGGTATGAATTCTACATTGTGCATAATGCGTCCATATTTGCTTGAATCAATTTTGATGCACCACAACACATGTTAGTCTTATTTGGCACGAACATGGTTCTTTTTATATAAACACAGACATGCAAATGCATAAGTAACCCAATTATGATTTTGCTGGAGCAGAGAACCTTTTTCTTTTGCAGGCAACTAATAAGGTTCTAATCCGATAAAAGCTTTAATATTTCACATGCATTCCCATCGGCTTGTCATAGAGGCAAAAGAGGGCGAATACAAAAGTCTTAGATAATGAAAAAACTGCATAGATGGCTCATACCAAGGCGAATGGTTAAACAATGCGAGGTTATTCGTCGTGATCATCCTCATCATTCAAAGTGGGAAAGGTGGGAGGCCAGATAGTCATAAGGGGAAAGATAGTTGTAAAATATATACCCTGCACCTTGATCTCATATGTCGTCTCCTTCCTGCTTCTCAGGTCAACAGAAATGATAGTTCTACTTGTCCACAAACATAAGAACACAAATCCACCATCTTCCGAGACTGCACACACCCGAAATCTCTCATGGCGGTCCTGTGCTGCACGCACAACAAACCTATCAACCAGCTCCCACCTGTCTTCACCGTTGTCGTCCATCTGGTGGTTCCAGACGCTGAGATGGAACCTGTCTCTGTGGATGAGAAAAAGCCCAGAATCATCTCCATGCGAGAGCTTGAAGTCCGCGCCGACTTTATCCGGGACTTTGACGACAAAGAGTCGTAGACGTGGAGCAACAAAATCCAACCCACAAATGTAGCAATTGTCGAGCACAATGTAGAGCTTGTCATTGACAATCATCATCGAGCGAACAAACTTTAATGGCACAGGGAGCTCTCCTTCAGCCAAGATGGCTTCACCCCAGGCATCAGATTGCCCGACATACACTCGGGCCGATAACTTTCGCCCGCTGAGACGCACAGACACTAAAACTATGCCGTCGTTGTTGTCCCTAAATAACAAGTAGAGACATTGACTACTGTAGTCCAGCGGACTTAACCTGCCAATGTGTAATAGCTCCGGCGGTAGTCGGATAGGGAGCACCCCCCTTGCCGGGCACAGCGGGCTGAACATGGTGTATCCGCCGCACCCAAATGGCAGGGACTTGAGGGCATCTCCAGCCGAGCCCCCAGGAACGCCCCCTGACCACTTTTTTGACACAAGCGCTTAAAAATCGTCCCAGCCACGTCTCCAAGACCCTACTTTTCGTCGGATTTGATAAAAAATACAGCCGGCACTCTCGGGGTGAACCCAGGCCACCGGGGGGCTGTTGGGGCGGAGAGAGAAGATTTTGCATGTCATTGGCCCACCGTCAGCCTCCCACTCGGCTCTGTATACTTTTTCTCCCGGGCCCCACCCACGTGCTCTTTCCCACGCCGCCCTCCCCAACCTCTCTCCCGCGGCCCGCCCCAACCTCTCTTCCTACCTCGCCGCGGCCCTCCCCAACCTCTCTCCCTCCCTCGCCGCGGCCCTTCCCATCCTCTCTCCCTCCCTCGCCGGCAACCGCCTCTCCGGCCCCCTCCCCGCCAGGCTCCACCGCGCCACTCCGGCTGGATCCCGCGGGCACTCCCGCTGCTGGTCGTGGCCGCCTCCTTGCCGTGCGCCGGCCTCTGCTCACCGCGCGCTGCCGCCTTGCTCGTCGCGCGTCGGCCCGGGCGTGCCGGAGCTGCCGCAGGGCGAGCTCGAGGAGGCCGCTGGCCGGAGCCGCCATACAGCGAGCTCGAGGAGGCCACTGGCCGGAGCTGGCGAGGCGGGGGCGCGGCCGGAGCGCGCGTGGGCGGGACGGAGGAGGAGCGTGCGTGGCCGGGCGAGGAGTAGCCACCGAAGAGGCTGCGCGCGTGGCCGTGGCGCGCGGAGCTCCGCCGCGAGGTCCGCCGGTAGGCGTAGAACGACGGGCTGGGACGTACTGCTGCACCGTCGTCGAGTCCCTGGACGGCGTGTCCGGCATCGTCGCGTAGCTCCGGCTGTTCTGCTCTTCTCGTCATCAATGTACCTCTCCTCAACCCACCGATCCAGCCAGTTCCTCCAGCTATTCTACTCCGGCGTGGGCGTGCTGTTGGCGGACGACACGGCGTGGGCGTGGCCGGAGCGGCACGGACGTGGACTGGGCAGGTGTGTGGGTGGGGCGACGACTGAAACAAATCTCACGCCCAAAGAAAAAAAATTCGCCGGGGCCTCCCCAGGAGGCCGAAAAAACGCCTCCTGGGGGCACAACGGCTAGAGATGCCCTGAGGAGGAGGCGGCCGTTCCGGCTGTCGGCGATTCTTACAGATTGATTGCAGTGGTGGAAGCCGGCGCGATTCACGGCATAGCGGAGCTCCCGGGCTTCCGAGACGCTCACGAACACCGTGCGCAAGGTGGAGCAGTGGTTGACGTAGAAGCCGAGGATGCGAGGAGGGTGACGGTCGCGGAATCGTCGGAGGAAGACGGTGTCGGCGGCGACGCGGAGCCATCGCTTGGAGACTAGGGCGGCATGGACGAGGAAAGCCGGGAAGCCGAGGCGGAGCGGGATCTCCCGGAGCAGGTCGTCGTCGCCGATCACCGCCGCCATCGCGGCCTCGCCGCCTCTCCTTCCACGAAGGTGGAGCAGCTCGTCGGGTAGGTCCATACCGCGGCGGACGATTTGGGCGCTAAGTCTGGCGGCGGAGGAGGCACTCGTGATCTTATACTTGGAGCCGGCCGGAGGCGCTGGGGCAAATAAATTTATTTTGGGCTCATTCTGTTCCGTTGCATGTACGCGTAAATAAAGCCCAAAAGCCCACCGACATGGCGCGGGCGAGAAGATTTCCTTCCTTTCGTGACCACCCGGCCATCCGTGGAGATCATGAAGAGAAAAACCTCAAAAAATGAAGAAAAAGAAGAAGAAAAAACATCTACTATGCAACAGAGGCGTCAGAGATGCAGAACTGTTAACTGAGAGGCAACTTATGCATACATCCCACGTGAATCATGACTACGATCCCTCCTCCTTCCGACCTGTATGGAGAACATGAGTACCTGATGGCATTATTGTGTCCATCGGTGCACACCTCTTCTCATTTCAGTCGGCAGGGCACACAAAGCTCAAGATTCACGCATATACTCCCTCCGTCCTGAAATAAGTGTAAGAGAGACACTTATTTCGAGACGGAGGGAGTACTTAGCAGCCAGGAGGTTGTCGTGATTGTTCAAAAATTCAGAGTAGAGGAAGATGCGGCCGGAAGCCAGCACCATTACCGTCTCTGCTGAAATCAGTAAATCACCAGCAGTAGTGCGTACTCCCACAAACTGAGCGCAACAAAAAAAAAATTTGGATCGAAATTTGTGGAGGGGTACTCCTCAGGGCATGTACAATGGTTCTATCTTAGGAGTGCCACGTAGGATAAATGATGAGGTGGAGGAAAGAGAACTTATAAGAAAAGGCTTGTCTTATCTTATTTAAGAGAAGACAAGAGATGATCTCTTAGCACAATATGTCTCAACACGTTTTTAGGAATTGCTAGTTATTGAAGATAAGGCTAAGAGATGACCCATTGTAGACTCTGTTTTTTGTCATCTCTAGATTACATGCAAGACTTAAGATAAGACTATCTTATCAACCATTGTACATGCCCTCAGTCCTCACCCGAGTTCTTGCGTATATCTGGCGGCGGCCATGGGCGTCGTCTCCTCCTCTGTGCGAATTGTCCCGTATGAGTAGTAGATTATAGTATTAGCACGATGATTAAGATAAAGTTAAAACATTTGAGATATTTTTGTCTTAGTAATTGTGATAATTTTTGGCTCCCTTTCTTTTGACGAAATCTTAGAATGCGAAAAGCTGCAAAATAGAGTACCGAAGTGCATACAAAAAACTATTAAGAAAGTTTAGTCACCTCATAGGACTACAATATAATGTTGACCGGAATGACGATCATATACATCAGATGAACCCTGCATAAATCAACCACCAAAATACAAATACACTGAAGTTGCGCCAAACCAAATGTTCGTTTTACAACAGAAAAAATGACAATAAAATGGTTCAAATGATTCAAATGGTTAGTGCAATGTTTGCACCTCATCTTACCCCTCACATTCTAGCAGAAATTCAATCTCATTACGGCGAAGCACCTTCGGTTCCTTTCGCGCGGGTAATCTCATCCGTCAGTGGTATGCATGGACGGTGCCATTTCTTCTCGGAGGTCTACCAGGAAGAGACCCTGGCTTGAACTTGGACGTCTCATGCCTGGCAAGCTCCGGCGGCACGGGACTATTGCTCTGCACAAGCATCTGCCTAAGATCGAAGAAAATGTCAGTGTCCTCCAGAGTCAAAAACGATGTCGAGAGCCCCTTCTTTCCTGCACGCCCGGTTCTCCCGATACGATGCGTGTACAGATCGATCGAGCTAGGCATCTCGTAGTTGATCACATGGGCGACCTCCGGGACATCGATGCCGCGGGCGGCAAGGTCAGTGGCCACGAGGACGTTGAACCTGCCGTTCCTGAACCCGTCGAGGCTGGCCATCCTCTCGTCCTGCGACTTCCCTCCGTGCAGCGCCGTGACCCGGCACAACCCTGCGTTTTCCACGTCATGGGTGAGCTTCTCCACGGAATTCTTGGTGTTGCAGAACACAATGGCCGTCCTGTCCTTCCCGAGGTCGGCGAGTATCCTCTTGAGCCGTGGCATCTTTTCTTGGACCTTCACCATGACCACGTTCTGGGTGACGAGGTCCGCGGCCTTGCCGGCAGAGCCGACCGTGACGACCACCGGGTTCCGGAGGTACTTCCTGGCGAGCCGCTCCACGGCCGGCGGCATGGTGGCGCTAAACATGTGGGTCGTCCTGTAAGTCCTCGCCTCCTCCAGTTCCTCGTCCGCGTTCTCTGGCTTCAGGTGGCTCGACGGCATTGCGTCGAGCACACCGACAACCTGGGGCTCGAAGCCCATGTCGATCATCCTGTCGGCCTCGTCGAGCACGACGTAGCTACACCGGTTGAGCACGGCGTACCTGCTCTCCAGGCAGTCGAGGAGCCGGCCGGGCGTCGCGACGATGACCTCGCACCCCCGCTCGAGCATGCTGGCCTGCTTCTGGATGGTCGACTGGCCGTCCGACTTGCCACCGACAATGGACACCACCCTGATGCCTAGGCACGCCGCAAGCTTCACCGTCTCCCTCTCGATCTGCTGCGCGAGCTCCCGGGTCGGCGCCAGGACAAGCGCGTACGGGCCCTCGTCCGCCTCGCTGTGGCTGGTCGGCAGCGGCATGCGGGCGATGTATGCCAGCATGGGGAGCACGAAGGCAGCGGTCTTGCCTGAGCCAGTCTGAGCAACGCCGATGACATCGCGACGCTGGAGGCCGAGCGGCACGGCGGCCATCTGGATCGGCGTGGGCTTTCTGTACCCGGCCCTGTCGACGTTGCGGAGCAGCTCGGCGCCGAGCCCGCTCTCCGCCCAGCTCCGCATGGGCCGTGGCACGCGGGAGCCCCTGTAGGAGATGCCGAAGTCCTCGCGGAGGATCCGCCAGTCGCGCTCCGTCATCTCCTCGGCGCGCTTGTCCGTCCAGTGCCTGTCCACGCGCATGTCCAGGGCGTCGTACGTCGCCGCGGCGTCCTTGTGGAGCGCGGCCGCTGCGGCCTTCTTCTGCTCGCGCCGGTCGATGCCGGCGAGGAAGCCGCGGCCGTAGAGCAGCAGGGCGCCGTGCGGAGGCTGGTTGTTGACGGCGTCGACGCGGCTGGTGTCGTCCGTGCTCGCCCAGTCGAAGCGGAACCTGTCCCGCGGCTTGGCGACCGTCTTGGGCTTCTTGTCCTTGGACCCCCCGAGGTACTGCTCCCTGATCGCCTCGAGCTCCTTCTCCCGCGCCCTCTCCGCCCGATCTTTCTCCCTGCCGTCCCTGTCCTGATCTCTGCCGCGGCGGTCATGGTGCCGGTCCGGGTAATGTCGGCACGAAAAGGGGGGATCGTGAGGGGGAGGCGGCGGAGTGGGGAGCTCGGAGCGACGCTGGTCGGCGACGGCGGCCTGGCGGCGCTCGAGGGCGAGGCGCTGGCGTTTTTCGCGGGAGAGGAACACCGGGCTCGGCTCCGCGGCGTCCAACGTTCGCTTCATGGCGGCGCTGCTGGCAGGAGAGGACGCGCCGCGGTGTTCGGCTTGCACGGGACGGGAGGGAGGATTCGATGCTGCTTCTTCTTCTGTACATAAAGGCCGGCGGATCAGCCGCCGACGCCGACTCGGAGGGGAGTTCGTATCCGGCACGGTCAACGGCTGAAAATGGCGGCAGATTACCGCGGGCCATAATGATCGCGCGAGGAATCCATGATGTCTATCATATTTGGCTGTCACGTATCTTTTTTTTTAAGGATGCGCTACGCGTCCGCCGGCTGATCTTTTTAAAAGATCAGCCGGGTCGCGAGCCATCAGATCTGTGTCGCATCAAGCGCTCAAACGTGCCTTCATTATTGCAACACCGGTCTTGTTGCAGAATTATTTCTGCAGGTCGTGTTGCATTTTTTGCAACCGAGGTCTTGTTGCAGAAAAAAATCACAAGAAAAATTTCGTTTAAAAAAAGACCCATCATAGACCATTGCAACACTACATATGTTTCAGAAACATAGCTCCTGTTGTAGAAGCGCGTTTTACAAAGACGGTATGTGGGCTCTCACTAAGACATGTGTAAGGCAGGGGAGGTGCCGGACATAGAAGCTGCGATCCGCCGGGTGATCGTAAGAGTTTCCCTTTTCTTTTAACATAATACAGAAGATTGAGATTTAACCAAGTCTCAGTATAGAAGAGAGAAATTATATAAGGGTGTGGCTAGGTCTTAGTCGATTGGGATTTAACATAGTACAGAAGAGAGAAATTATGTAAGAATGTGGCTAGATCTTAGTCGATTAAAATTTAACCAAGTCTCAGTCAAGTAGCAGAGAAAAAGAAAAAGATTGCATTATTTTTTTTGCACGGATCTGAATGTAAAGATCTTATGCATATAGCATCGAGTGAGATTTAATGAAGTCTCGGTCAACTGAGACTTTTTTTGCGGGGCAAATAGGAGTTTTATTTCATAATGATAGGGTTACAGTTCAGTGGTAGTAGTGCCTCAATCATAATTAGAGTTACATAAAAAGAGTTACATGTTGGCTCTAACGGAAAAGAAAGTTACATGTTGGTTACAGTCCAGTGACAGTAGTGACTGATTTTGTAACCACCATGTAGACTGTAACCACCATGTAACTTTCTTTTTAGTTAGAGCCAACATGTAACTCTTTTTTAAAAATATCAATTTATTCATCTTCAATCATAATTATGGCAGTATAATGAACACCAGAAATAATAAAAATTACATCAAGATTCGTAGGCCACTAGCGACGACTACGAGCACTGAAGCAAGACGAAGACGCACCGCTATCATCGCCCCTCCCTCGCCAAGCCGGGCAAAAGCAGTAGACAGTCGGGAAGTAGAAGCGGCCGTCGATAAAAAGTAGCGTAGATCGAAAGCATGGCTAGCATGTAACTTCATAGTTTAATTTTGCATGGCCAGCCTTTGAGAAGCCATGTACCACAATGCTAACACTCTTCTAATCTTATTTTAATTTCGGTCTATTTCGCACACTCCAAAATTGTTTTCACGCTTCTTTAGTTAACCCATTTCAAAACACATATTTCACTTATTTCCAAACAATGATTTTGGCCCATTCAAAAATAATAATTTCACTAATTTTTGAAAAGATTTTTGATTTAAAAACTGGTTTCGCTCATTTGAAAATACTTATTTCACTCATTTTAAAATCTTATTTCACTTATTTTTAAGAAAGAATTATTTCACTCATTTGAAAACACTCATTTCACTCAATCTTAATAAAAGGATTCACCTAGTTCAAAAATGGATTTCCATCGTTTCAATAAAAAGATATCACTCATTTCAGAAGAAAAAAATTGATTTCACTTACTTCAAAAAACATATTTCACCCATTTACAAAAAATGATTTTGATCGACTGAAAATAATGATTTTACTAATTGCAAAAACTCATATCACTAAAGTCAAACAACAGATTTCACACATTTAAAAAATCACTTGTTTCCAAAAATCGATATTTCTCAATTCCAAAAATTATTTCACTTCTTTCAAAAAAATCACTCATTCCCCAAAACACATTTCATTCGACTAAAAGCACTAATTTCACTCATTGCAAAAAAAATGTTGAAATAAGCAGCTTCACACATAAGCAGTTTCATTGAAATAAGCAACTCCACTTATACTGCGCAAATATTAGCTTCACACACTGATATCTGGTCTTGTTCAAGAAAATCACAAAAGGGGTTGTTTTGCACTATGAAATAGACTAAGTGAAATAAGTTAATATAAACTTTTAAATTTAAATGTGTTTGAAATATATCCAAGAGCTTGTTCTAAAGGCCTTGGTGCCAAGAATTCAAATATATAAAAGATGATTCTGTTTTAAGAGATATGA